TACATGCAGTGCTGCCATCTTCTGTTTCAGTCTGTTATTACACTCTTAAATCCTGCTACTTATTCCTGCGTCTTTTGGGATCTTACAAAGCTTCAAACGACGCATCGACTATTAAATCAGTCGTCGACGATTTTGATAGTCGAAGTAATTGTGACTAGTCGACTAATCGTGGCAGCCCTAATGCACATGCGCATGTGAACCAGACCTCCAGCACACATTAGCCCCTACGGGGTGTTGTATGGACGTCCTGCCAGAATGACGGCAGAACCCCCACAATGGACAGGCATGTCCACCCAATGGCGTAACAGTGAAAGCAGCCCTGCCCAGACCAGAAGAAGGACCTCTACACCTGTTTTAACCAGGCGACTGGGTTCTGGTGAAGGACTTCAGGCTGAAACACTGGAAGGCGAGGCACGACCCTGCTGATACTGCTGGGAGCAGCCCTCTGGTGGATGAATGTGGTAGATCCCAAGCTGCCCACAACACCAGACAACAACGGGCCCAACTCCACACTCACCACACTCACTCCTTTGGAGCCCAGTGGTTGGATAGCAATTCCCAGAGTGGGTAGCTCCTCCACACAAGTGCAGGCGTATTTCTCACTGACCAGAGCTCAGGTGAGACAAGATGCAGCCACAGGAAAGGTAAACCCATTGATTCTAACAATCAAAACTGCAACACAAGTTTGTTTCACGACAGATTGCCAGAACAACGATCGAACCTACTTCATCCTGGGCATGCATTTATTACTTCTAGGTTGGACTACTGTTATTGGTATTATCTGGGTGCCTTGAAAAACTCCCTAAAATGCCTTCAGGTGATCCACAATGTTGCAGCAACAGTACTGATGAAACCTTTGTGTCAGAGCAGTTAGTGTAAATAGATCTTATTGGACAGTATTTATCAAGTTCAGATCAGAAAGTTTACTCGGAAAGAATATTTTTTAGGCCTGTATAAAATAAACAGAGCTGTATTTTCCTGCTCTAATCCTTCATGTGTTAGCCTTTATGTCCAGAACACATAAAAATGATGCTTTACATTCATCTGGAGAGACTATAAGCCTTTTTGATTTAGGATGTGGCTAATCTTCTGCAAGGCTCCAACAGCTCCCACAGATGGTATTACTTTATCCTCAGCCCAAGGGGATGGAAGGATGTTAGATGTCAGTGTATTAGAGGATGTTATTCTGTTATTTTCAATTACTTAACATAACATAAAATCTTTTGTAAATGTTGATTTTCAGTTTCTGGTGAGAAATATAATCATCTCTTTGTGTTGCCACTGTTAAAGATAATCTCATGAATAGAAATAGCTGTGGCCTTTCTTAATTTTCCTCATGGCATAATATCATGTCAAGGTTTAGCTGTATCACTTTGACACATTCGATCTAACCTGGGAAATTCTGGAAAGAAACTGCATTTTCTCTCCAGTGCTGAGGAGCTCACCAGTATCAAACACAAAATTATCACTGCAGCATCACCACAAACCTCATACAATGTACAGCTCTGGGGTACGTATGAAGTGTTGGGATACTCACAAAAATCATCTTTGTATTACATGTTAATTGTTAATTTTAAAAAAAGTAATGGATTATATTATAAAAAAATTTTACCTTACTTTTTCAATAACGTGGCACATGCATTTTTCTTTCAGCTGCTTCCTTTAGAGATTGTCAATTCAACCTCGTTTTATACCAACAGCCAGCCAAACAACATGGCAAAAATGCTGTTTTATTTGGAGCTATGTGAATAAAATTGAATTGACTTGGCTTGAATTGAATTAAAAGTGGTCATAATCGTGTGGAAGGAATCATCCAAGGACCTCCTCAATCCCACTGACATGTCTTCTGTAAATGAATCAGAGTCTGGGGACGAGGGGGACGACTCTCCCATCACTAGGAGCGAGGTCACTGAGGCAGTTAAATAACTCCTTGGTGCCCAGGGCACTGGGGTAGATGAAGTTCACCCTGTGTTCCTAAAGGCTCTGGATGTTGTAGGGCTCTCCTGGTTAATATATTGCTACAATATTGTCTGGAGATCTTGGTGGTGCCTCTGGACTGGGAGACTGGGATTGTGGTCTCCATCTTTAAGAAGGGGGACCAAAGGGTGTGCCCCAACTACAGGGGGATCACACTCCTTAGCCTCAGCCTCTCCAGTACCCTGGAGAGTTAGTCCATTAATTGAACCTTGGACACAGGAGGAGCTCTTTTCACCACTTTTCATCCTGGTTACAGGGTTTGAGGGTACATGGGAGTTTGCCCCTACATGTGTTTTGTGGACTTGGAGAAGACAACCATGTTCCCCTGAAAATCCTGTGGGTGCTTTGGGAGTATGGGCTGTCTATTGCTAAGATCTATTCAATCCCTGTATAACCATTGCAGGAGGTCTGCACTGCAATAAGCTGGACTCATTCCCAGTGTGTGTTGGACTCTGCCAGGGCTGCCCTTTGTGTTCATAGTTTGTATGGATAAAATTCCTGTGTGTAGCCAGGTGTTTTTTGGTGGCCGCAGAATCTCATCTCTGCTTTTTGCAGATGTTGTGGTTCTGCTGGGTTCATTAGGTGGTGGCCATCAGTCTGCGCTTTTCACAGCCAAGTGTGAAGCAACAGAAATAAGAATTAACATCTCGAGTATGAGGCCATGGTCCTCAGCCATAAAAAGGTGGAGTGCCCACTCTAGATCAGGGACGACATGCTCAAGCGGAAAGTAGCCTGTTGAAGTTGCTCGGGAAACTCACAAGGATGCCTCCTGGGTGAGGTGTTTTGGGCATATCCAACTGAGAGGAGGCCCCCAGGACAGACCAAGGAAGGGATTACTCTTGGCTGACCAGCTGCAGGAGGTGGCTGGAAAGAGGGATGACTGGGCATCCTTATTTAGGCTGCTACCCCCTCAAATAAGCAGAAGACGATGGATGGATGGATGGATGGATGGATGGATGGATGGATGGATGGATGGATGGATGGATGGATGGATGGATGGATGGAAGGTATAAAAATGGTTATAATTTTTAAACAGTAATAGAGTACTTTTGTTAAGTCTCTTGAATTAAAGTTGAAAAATGTGACTTAAAACTTGCTGTGGTGGCGTACAGAAGCAAAGTTCCAAAAAGTTATGGATCTAACTTTAACTACATGACCTGATTTCAGTACTTGCTTCAGTTATAATTAATAAAACTCTAAAACTCCATCTGTTCATCTTGCCCTGGATTAATCCCTCTTTCTATGCAGACGTCTTTGCAAACCCAGAGACCCAAAAAGTGACAGCACATGCGTTTCTGTCCACGGAGTGTCTGCAATACCATACCGTTTGCCTGGAAATATAATTGACTGTGCTATCCTGTTTCTCATTCATTCTCATTCACCAACTTGTAAATAAACTTTCTCTCCATTTATGTCAGAATAGACCTGCTGACACCAGCCACTGTTCTGACCCCATCTCCCCATTGAAAGAACAGGTTGAAAAGCACGAGTCAGTGCTTAGTGGCCTTGCCACAAATCAGTACGTTCTCCTTCCAAAGGTAAGAGGCTCAGCAGAATGCTTCAACTTTGTTTTGGACAATCTCAGCCGCTCCCCACAACGTTGCATGCAGCTTTCTGTTTGCTCCATCTGCTTTGCCTTCTCCTTCACCTCAATTTTCTTCAATGCAGCATCCTAAGCAACTTTACACATACAGTGTGTATGTGGAGGAAAAAGATCTCCATTGGGGTGATAGTGCACTATAAGGTCATTAAGTTCCCCCATGTGTCATTTCAGCAGGTCAGTTTGACTTAAGTTTGTTTGAGATTTTGTTAATTGTTATCTTGAGTTTATTGAGTTGACCTCGTTTATTGGTTTGCCTGTTTAAGTTTTTTGGCTTTGTTAAATATCTTCTCATATTTTGGGGTCAATTAAACCCCTTTTTTAAACACCTGTGTCCTTTATGCCTTACTGCTTGGTCCCTGACAGTCTGGTTAACAAACTGATAAAAAACAAAACATGCTTCAGATGAGTCAGTATCTAGTCTGTTATGTCTAGTCAAGTGGTCAGGTTCAAATTAACTGTGGCTATTTACTGTTAAATAAGTTGTTCAGTAACTATGTAGCTGCTGAGGCTAACTGGACGGAGAAGTACTGCAAAGTCAGCAGAATGCCAGGAGTTAAAAGTACTACAACAGTGTGTGCACCTCCCGAATGATTGTAGCTCTAAACAACTGCATAGACAGTTTATGCCAGTGGTTTTTCAATCATATCTATGTAATAGATTCCAGTTTGTTCATGTAAATGGAGAGTCCTCTTCACACACTGAGGTCAATTATGCAGTTCCACAGGGTGCAAGGAATGATTTGTTTACAATATACATGCAGAGCATACGTTTTCACTGCTATGCAGATGACACACAATTTATTGACCCATTCAGCCAGATAACATACACCAAATATTGAAATTGCAGGAATGATTTAGGATATAAAGATCTGGATGGACTCTAATTTTCTGTTTTAGTTTTACGTGCTTTGCAGGTAAAACTGACGTTATTGTACTCAGCTCTAATAATCTTAGAAATAAGGTGTAACTAGATGCTTACTGTGGATGACATGCAGCAGCAACAGTACTGACAGGGACTACAAAGAGAGAGCAGATTTCTCCCTTATTGGCTTCTGTCATGGTCCTGGGCCGTGTTGGCCCAGTATTCTTAGTTCTCTTGTATTTTTGTATTCAGTTCCCTGTTTAGGTTCTGTTTCCTGAGTTGCCCTGTTATGATGTTCCCTGTGTGCTTTCCCTTTGACTCTCACCCCCTGTGTGCCCCTCTATGTATTCATGAGCCCTTGTCCCCTTTCGTGTTTTATTCCATGTTTTCCCCAGCCTGTTATGTCTGTGTTCTCCCCGTGCTCTCTCCTCCTGTCTGAACCTCTGTGCGCTTCCTGTTTACTTTGTGACTCTCACGCCTGTACATGTCATGTTCAGTTCACCCCGCCCTGTCTCGTTATGATTATCAGTGTCACCTGTGTTCCCCGTGTGTTCCCACTTTCCTCGTTTACCCTCTGTGTATTTCTGTCTGCGTCTCCCTCTGTTCAGCGTCGCGTTCTCCCTCATGTTGTGTGTTATTCTCCCCGTGGTTCCTGGTTTACTTTATGTTTAGCTTTCCCAGTTTAGTTTAGTACTGTTTTCGTGTTCCACTTTTTGCCAGCATTAAAGCTGTGTTTTTGAGTTTATCCCCGTGTCGGTGAGTCTGCATTTTGGGTCCTTCTCCTGCCTGCCACACAACGTATCATGACAGAAGAACGCGACCACGAACTGGACCCAGCAGCTCACAACCCCTCCGCGGACCTCCAGGACGACTTGGTCTACACGGTGGAATATCACTGTGAGGAATGGGCGACGCTACCTAGAGGCGAATACCGGGAGACCGTAGCCGTCCGTCTTCAGCGGATGGTGTCCGGGCTCCCGTGGCTATTCGGCGCGCTGCGCCCCCACATCCGGGACTTTCTTGTGTCCGCCGTGGGCATCCGTCCGGGGCAGCTGTCCCAGAAAGAACTGGAAACGGTCAGGATTGGGACCATGGGGCTCACCACCGTTACGCCGCCTGTTCGCTTCTCATCGGCTTCTACATCTTCGCCACCGCCGCCTACGTGGCGCACGGAGATGCCAGAGGCCAGCGACTTCGGTGAAGAGGAGCGGCAGCAGGTGTTACGGGCATATCGGGAGGACGAGCTCCGTTGGAAGCCCTGGCTTATCACCGAGGAGGAGCTCTCGTCAGCTGTCCCACCACAGATCGACCATCCACCCTCGCCGCCGCGATCGGACTACTCGTCCCCTGCTTCCTGCCTGGCACGGATGTGGTCTGAGGGCGAGGAGCCGGTCGCCACGGAAGGCCAGGCTGAGCCCACGGCCGCCCCTAAGAGGAAACGGCGTTCCCGCCGCTGTCGCGCACCGCCACGGCCCGTTCTGCCCTCCACTGAGCCTGCCATTTCTCGGACTGTTTTTTCTGAGCCCGCTCCTTTTCCTGCTCGTGTTTCTCCTCCCAGGCCAGTTCAGTTAGCTCCCTCGCAGCCACCCTCAGTTCAGTTAGCTCCCTCGCAGCCACCCTCAGTTCAGTTAGCTCCCTCGCAGCCACCCTCAGTTCAGTCAGCTACCCTCCGGGAAGCCCCCGCTGCCTGGTATTCTCAGCATCGGCATCTTTTCCCGTCAAGATTTATTACTAAATCATTCGATCCTCCCTTAAGAGAGAGACTGCATCCTCGCTGCCTTCACCCCAGTACACCAGTGTCACCTGGGTCTCCAGTAGCTCCAGTGCCGCCTGTAGCGCAGGCCCCAGTAGCTCCAGTGCCGCCTGTAGCGCAGGCCCCAGTAGCTCCAGTGCCGCCTGTAGCGCAGGCCCCAGTAGCTCCAGTGCCGCCTGTAGCGCAGGCCCCAGTAGCTCAGGCCCCTGTACGCCCCGACCGTGCCTGTCCAGCCCTAGCAGCCGCAGCGCAGGCTAGCCCAGTCCGCCTGTACGCACCCCTAGAGCTCTCCAGTGCAGTCCGAGGATCGTCCGCTGGTCAGCTTAACATTCAGCCAGGGGTCCCAAATCTCTCTGGCTCTGCATCGGCTCCTGCTGGGAGCTCGGATGAGCTCATCCAGGACTCCGCGGCTCCCACGCCGCCATCTACCTCGTCAGCTGGGGGGCCCGAGGAGCCCGTTCAGCCTCCTGTCTCCGCTGGAGGGTCCGAGGGGCCCGTTCAGCCTCCTGTCTCCGCTGGAGGGTCCGAGGGGCCCGTTCAGCCTCCTGTCTCCGCTGGAGGGTCCGAGGGGCCCGTTCAGCCTCCTGTCTCCGCTGGAGGGCCCGAGGAGCCCATCCAGCCACCGTCTGCTGCAGCCTCCTGCCGCAGCCTCGAGCCTTCGTCTGCTGCAGCCTCAAGCCTTGCTCGTCTGCTGCAGCCTCTGAGCCTTCGTCTGCTGCAGCCTCAGAGCCTTCGTCTGCTGCAGCCTCAGAGCCTTCGTCTGCTGCAGCCTCAGAGCCTTCGTCTGCTGCAGCCTCAGAGCCTTCGTCTGCTGCAGCCTCAGAGCCTTCGTCTGCTGCAGCCTCAGAGCCTTCGTCTGCTGCAGCCTCAGAGCCTTCGTCTGCTGCAGCCTCCGAGCCTTCGTCTGCTGCAGCCTCCGAGCCTTCGTCTGCTGCAGCTCCAGCCTCCGAGCCTTCGTCTGCTGCAGCTCCAGCCTCCGAGTCTTCGTCTCGTCTGGCCCAGCCTCCGAGTCTTCGTCCTCGTCTGGCCCAGCCTCCGAGTCTTCGTCCTCGTCTGGCCCAGCCTCCGAGTCTTCGTCCTCGTCTGGCCCAGCCTCCGAGTCTTCGTCCTCGTCTGGCCCAGCCTCCGAGTCTTCGTCCTCGTCTGAGCCCAGCCTCCGAGTCTTCGTCCTCGTCTGGCCCAGCCTCCGAGTCTTCGTCCTCGTCCTCGGCTCGCTCGTCGCAGCCTCCGAGTCTTCGTCCTCGTCTGGCCCAGCCTCCGAGTCTTCGTCCTCGTCTGGTCCCAGCCTCCGAGTCTTCGTCCTCGTCTGGTCCAGCCTCAGCTCTGTGCTTCGCCTGGTCCGGCCCCCGCATCGCCACCGTCTGGTCCTGCCTCGTCTGGTCCTGCCTCGTACTGGTCCTGTGCCCACCAGGCCATGGCCAGCACGCCTGAGACTGGAGAGCCGCCGCTGCCTTCCGCGCGGTCGGCCCCCTGAACTGCTCCGTCTCCGTTCTTGCCGCCGCCGCTGCCTTCCGCGCGGCCGGCCCTAACGCTCGTTTGCCGCCTCTTCGCGGCTCCTGAACTGCTCCGTCGTCTCCCTCGCCGCCGCCGCTGCCTTCCGCGCGGCCGGCCTCCTGAACTGCTCCGTCGTCTCCCTCGCCGCCGCCGCTGCCTTCCGCGCGGCCGGCCTCCTGAACTGCTCCGTCGTCTCCTTCGTCGCCGCCGCCATTGCCTTCCGCACGGCCGGTCTCCGGACCAGCTCTGCCACCTGTGCCACCCGCCTGGTCGGCCCCCCGACCGTGTGACCC